TATATATAAAGAGGTATACAGTACAATATTAAAACTAAGAATAGCTAACAAAATAAGAAGTTTACTAGAAGACAGGAAAAACAAGATACTAAAATAAAGGTAAAACTAGAGATAGGATGGAGCAAGAGACTCCAAGACAAAAGAATAGCTGACAAAAACAGCACAACAAAACAGCCCTAGAGTCTATAATACTTCAACTTAAAGAATCTAGCAAGACTACTGCAGCAAACTAACAAGAAAAGAAAAGAAAAGCCAAAGAAGCAAAAAGAAAAATACAAGCTCATCTAAAGAAAAAACAAGCTGCTGAGATTAAATCAAAGTTAGAAATAGATTGGAGCAAGAGACTTCAAGAACAAAGAAAAACTTGACAAAAGCAGCAAAACAAATTAGCACTAAGAACTCTAATAGTATACTTTAAAGTTTTTATTGAAATTGAACTTGCTACAGCAAACTAGAAAAGGAAAAAAAGAAAAATCAAAAAAGAAGAGAGAAGAAAAAAAATTAAAAGCAGAGAACAAAATGTTGAAAGCATTATGAAAACAGAAACCTTAAATAAGATCTAAGAGAAATCAAGTCCACAAGTCAAATTTGCAACTCCAACTGAATGGTTGATAGAAGTAATATATCAAATAAGTATTAAAGACTCACAAATCAACAAGAAAACATGGAAGAAGAAAAAAGAAGAGCTGCTTGTAAAATGGGTACAATGTCTAAAAACCTAAGAGATTATCAACAAGATTTTACCTTAAGACAATTGGCATATAGATCGTTAAAAGTCAAAAATTGGAAAAAGAAGAAAAAAGACACATTATTAGAAATATTAGAAAAGATCTTTGTAAAAATTTATGAAAACTGAAAATCTTTACTAAAATACAAGAGAAGTTTTTAGGAAGAAAACCAAAGCTTAGAAAGAAAAAAAAAAAATAAAAGAAAGAAAAGAAGAAGATCTTTATTTCCAAGATATAAGGTAAATATATCTAATTTGACACAATTTCTAATTTGACGTATGACGATATCTTGTGAACTGTCAATCAGAACTATATAATTCTGGTACCATTCGATTCATCTTATAAAGACAAATCAAATAGTACCAAAATCTTGTGATTCTGATTGATAGTTTTCGAGATACTCTATTTAACCAAAATAGCCCAAGATAGATATGTCTAATTTAATACAAATAAACATTTATGATAAATATCATGTGGTGTATCGATCAGAATTATAAGATTTTGATATCATTTGATTCATCTCAATAATACAAATCGAATGGTACCAAAATCTTGCGATTCTGATCGATACACTACATGATATTTATTATAAACATTTACTTGCATCAAATTAGACACTATATCAAATTAGGAATATATTTTCTAGACATCTTTTAATAAGTGTTATCTTATTATTTAGTGATTAGAATTGGATGATTTTGGTATCATTTGATTCGTCTCGATGAGACAAATCGAATGATACTAAAATCAGCTAATATATTATGTGATATTTATCAAAAATATTATCTGCGTCAAATTAGGCATATCTATCTTAAAAGAAATAGGCTCCAGACAGACTATACAAGATTTAATAACAGAAAGAACAAAAAAAGATTTATGATATTTTGAAGAAAAGAAGGTCTATAGAAGAATATATCTAGAGAAGACCTACAGAAAAAGCTCCCAATAAATAGAAGAAGAATACAGAGCTATAAAATTAATAAGACTCTTGAGAACTAGGTCCTATATAGGAAAGGATAGGTTAAAGTTCTTGATAGATAAAGTTATATCAAATTGGAAAAAGAGGAAAAAGAAATACAAATATGAATGAAGGAATTCTGGCAATAACCTTTGGCTAAAAGATAGAATAAAATTGTTTAATTTTAGAAAACTAGATTTAAAATACTGTTATGAAAAGGAGGATAGTCTAGAAGAAAAGGTAAATTGCTAATTTAGTTTAGTTAAAAATTCTTTCGTTTTAAAATCATTTGTTGATAGTTTCTTTAGTTAGCTTGGTATAGCCCTCCAGAGTAGGCAATAGCCTTAACCGGTGAAGCAGACCACACTTTGACACTTTTAGAGGAAGCTGAGTGATATCAGATCTGTAGCTTAGATAGTTTAGATATACCTGTATATTGCTTTAATTTAATAAAAATATAGGCGAAGCTGCTAATATATTAAAAAAATAAAATAAATAAAAAAAATAAATATTTTTAAATTAGCTAATCAGAATTGATTTATGTGAGAAAGAAAGATATTTCTATAGTAAAATAATATTACATAATATCTGTCACTGCTCTTATAGTATATTTTATTTATTTTTTTATATTAAATTTCTTGTAACATTTTAATATAAATAATTTATTACTCTATATAGTTAGAAGTTTTTATCTAGTTAGTAGGTTTTCTTTTTCTAGTAATAATATTTTAGTAGATTTTAAGTTGTTTTTAGATTTCTTTATATTAGTACTTATTTTTGTATATATATTTGTTTTCTTCTACTTTTTTTTGATATTTTTTTTATAAGAAAGTGTTATTAGATTGATAGCATTTTATTATAGAACAAGAATCTTAATGAGATTAACTATATACAACTATTAATCCTAGAAAAAATAAGTCTAAAACAAATTTTAAATCTTTAGAAGAGATCAAGTATAGCTTCAGCAGATCATATTTAAATACAATATAGTAGTTTAATAGTTCACTCTAACTGCAAGTAAAAGTTTTGACAACTATAAGATAAAACTAAATAAGTTTTACTTTTAGTTAAGATTGTATAGAATATAGTTAGAGATGTGTCATTTATTATGTAATATTTTTTACTTAGTAATCGCCTCTATCTATATATAGTATGATCACTTCTAGCTTGATTCTAATTAGCTGATTTAATTGATTATTAAAAAAATTTTTAATATTTTTAAAATTGAATAACTTTTGATTTACTGGTTTGTTTTAAATTATTTAACTATCAAAATGTTTATCTTGATAAGATGATTCTAATAGTCTAAATTTGTTAAATCTAATCACAGGATCCTAAGATTATTAAGATTTTTTGTATTATTTTATATATAATAAATTAATTTTATTATATATAAAATAGTACAAAAACTTTAACAATCTCAGGATTCTGTGATTAAAGTTTAGCAATTTTAGATTTATTAGAATCATTTCATCAAGACAAATATTTTGATAGTTAAATCATTCAAATTGGACTAGTAGATCAAAAGTTATTTAATATTATAATATAGAAATATTATTATAGTGCTATAGTGTTATAGTACTACCTATATATAAATACAAAATTGGTATAATATGTAAATCAAAATAATCTAATCTTTACAAAAATAAAATTTTTAATTAGGTTTAGATTAAAGCTGAGGTTAAGATTAGAAAAAGCATCTAAAATTTTGCAAGGAATTTTTTTTATTAGAACACAAAAGATGTTTTTTTAAGTAAAATTTTAAGATATAATTAATTTTTTAAAATTTTATTATTTTTGTTATACAAAGAAGTAATCTGCATGTTATACCTGATCTTAAATTTAATTGGTCACAATATTCTAGCACCATAGTGCTATAGCACTATAAAATAAATCTCTTATAATATATATATAATTTATATAAGGAATTGCTATTTGCACCACGATTTTTGCTATTTGCACCATCAATTTGACTAAAATTATACCCTAACTCTAACTAATTCTGGCCAAACTAATAGTGCAAATAGCAAAAATCATGGTATAAATAGCCATACCCTTTATATATTATATATATTGTATATTTGGTTATATATTATATATATATATAATGTAATCATTCAGCTAGACCATGTATCTATATAAAAATTATATAATCAATGGCATGTCCTTAATACATGCTTATGTAATAGCTTATTTTAATCTTCAAATAAAAGTAAACAGGATTATCTAAAAAAAAAAATAACTAATAGTAAATATAAAAAAATTAGAATATAAAAAAATAATATATTCATATCATAAATTCTCAGAATAGTGGGCATGGATGTTAATTCAAAATTTGTGCTCCTAAAAATAACATATACAGATTTGAAATAACACTCATATGCGTTCCAAAATAACATGCACCACATATAGAATTACTTGTCAAATCCAGATTTTGTTTTTTTTTAATTTATTAGTTTTTTGGTCTCTTTTTTCTGTTTTTACATATGATCTTTTGGCAATCAAGTTTATTAAAAATCAAACCTTGATACAAAATAACGCCCATGGGCATACTCAAAATAGCATGCACATAGTCAAAATAGCACGCAGATGCCCACTATTCCGAGAATTTACAGTATATTATATCTACTGATTTGATTTTTAGGTTCTTTTTTTAATAATCTGTTATATGAACTTTTGCTATTAATATTAAGTAATATAAAAATAACAAATAAAACATTTAATAAAACCTTTTTTAGCCTTTATATAAGATAAACAATAAATATTAAAAAGCAGCTACTCTAAACTGTAAAAGAAAAAACTATTACTAATTGTTGAAGAGTTTAGTTATTTTTAGATAATGAAGGATTCTCAATCATGATTGGCTAATTTTGGGGTCAAACAAAATCGGTCGATATGTATTGCAAGCTATATAAAAAACAAAAAAAAAAGAAGTTGTTTAAGTAAACTAAAATAGATAGTACTGTTGATGAGGTATTTTATTATCTGGTTTATCGACAGATTATAGAGTTATATATTAACGATATTTGAAAGAGCAATTTATAAGTGTTTTAATAGTGAATAGGTGCGCTATATATACTTGTCGGACTAGTAACCTATTTGGAATAAATATCTAAAGATACTAATTTCATGGACTTAGCCGGGTGTTACTTCAGATACATCAACATTGCAATGTTTTACTGAATATGTGCAAAAATTTAGAGAAGTTGTAATCACGCGTCAATAGTAAAAATGACATGCTTATAAATTACCAAACTTTTAAATTTTCACAAAAATTTATTTGAAAACACATTTAAATTAAACTAAGAATCTCATTATGCATTAAACAATCCCCAATCCCTAATCTCAAAACTAGCCAAAATCCTCCTGAACTCTTCATACCCTTCATTAGCATTCCCTTCTCGTGCTACCAATCTGCTACTGCTAGTAGCACCAATAGCTACGGGTATATTGCTGGTGACAACTATGTCTGTCATGATATTTGGGAATCTGAATAGTGCCATGAAAATTGTTAATAAATTTCGAGAGGACGGATCACGCTCGTTAAATTTGGTAACTTGTTGTTGGCCGATGAGTAGGCATTTTGGTGTATCAAGACTTTTAAATAGGAAAGTTGTTTGCGTCATAAAAAGATTTATATTCATATGAAAGGGATAATAACTTAGGTCGGAATAACAATTTTTTTGTCTGAAAACTTACGGGAGATATGGGACATCAGAAGTGGCCAATTCAGTTATTTGTAATATATTATTAAATTCTTCGGCATCGTTGTCATAGGCCAAGGATTTAAAATGGTATCTATGATATTATTTAATATAAATAAAATGGAATAAAATAAAGAAAAAATCAAATAGCTTAAGGAATTACCTAATGGCATCTTCATTTGAAGGCTCATTAACGTATTGTAGTATCTCAATAATAATACTTTGATCCGAATTAATGTCCGCGAAAACCTCTTGGTTATCTGCAACTTCACGAATTTCGCTATGATGTTATCAAGAAACATTGTTAGGGTCGTTTGTTTACATATCTATTCTGAATTGATAAAAAAGTGACGATTATGAATTAAACAAATTAAAAAATATATTAACATACCTGACATCACTAAATCTAGATGGTATATCAGCTACGATAGCACCACCAAATAAGCCCCGGGAAGCTGTCATTTGTCAAGCAAATTTGGGTGAGTTAATTATACAAAAAGTAAAAAAAATCAAGGTCTTATAGATATTGGAAAACCGTATCCCTCTACTGCGGCCTGCGGCTCGGAGCTAGTGTCCGTACGTACGTAACTTATTTATACAAATTATTTTTTAAAAGTCCGATAGTCTATCCTCACCATATATGCAAAAATACAGTTGTACCACTATAATCACAGTTGGGACTAGTTTTCCAAATCGAAAATCGATTAATCGTTTAGTTGACCAAGTTAGCAACTAAACAACTAATCGATTGATGATTAATTAATTAGTTGTTTTTAATACACTATAATTAGTGATTTTAACTAGAATTCCAAAATTATATTCAAACTATATATATATTTTGATATATTAACGTTAACTAATATACAAGTCACTTTCGTTATAGTGAAGTTGTCAGGCTGAAGAATTTTCTTCACTATATCAAGAGATTTACTATTTCAAAAACTCTTGATATAGTAAAGTTTATATTTAAAATAAAAAAATTTTTATTATATTGAGAGACTTCTATAAAGTTTATATATAAATTTAATATATATATATATATATATATATTTTTTTTTTTAAACTTTGGCTAGGAAAGCCGATGAAGCCTTTATTAAATATACTCAGAAGTACAGTACATAATTTTTGAATCGTATTACAACCTATTACTAGGCTATGCTAATCTAACCAGCTATCCGACATTTATCCAGCTGTTCTAATGGGTGCCCAAACATATCCTAGTTGCATCACCAAACACTTGCGGTCAGAGTAGTAGGCACATTTTTTCATACCGGTATCAATCTTGCATACAAATTTGCATTTGCGTCATTAGTTTAATAAAAATTATCTAGAACATATTTATTTATCCAAATTTATATCAAAAAGGATAATATTTTGTAATAGTGGGTATAAATTTATATTTTGTGTCATCACTCAAATGATGATAAATTTGTGCTTGCATCGTTATTCTAGTATAGTGATATCATTTTTTGTATATCTAGAATGCAATCTTCTGCTCAAATTTATATCAAAAAGATAATAATTATTTATACTATCTTGTTTGCAATCATTTACGCATCAAAAATCTCAATCAGTATACCAATATTTTTGTATATCTAGAACACACTCTTTTACCTAAATTTATATCAAAAAGGATACCAATATTATTTGTTATAGCAGAATTCATTTTAAAGCCGATTTTTCACTACTTACTGGCACAAAAAATTACATCTAAAGGTGTACAAAAATTCAGATTAAGTGTAAAAAAATTCAGAATAGATGTAAAAAAATTCAGACTAGGTGTAAAAAAATTTAGACTAGGTATAAAATTTTAATATCATACCATCTCTTTAGTGTAAATTTTTCAAAGAGTATTGAGCCTTTTTCTGAAGTCTATTAATATATTGGATAACATAATAACTATTAGCATGTTTTCTGCAAAGGCCAGGTTCTGAACTAGTTGGTATATTACAAACCTTACAAGGAAAACGCTTTCTAGCCTTCCAATGTTCATAGCATCCTTTAGGCTGACGGCAAGTATGTTCACAAATAATTCCAGTTCTGAGTAAATAATCACAAGTATATTCACTTATCATGGTATATAAATATGAAAATTTCAATTTAAACAAAAGATCTGATATATTAATACAAACAACGGAATACCAGCACCCATATACAAAATGATATCACCATTTCCAAGATGTACAAAAAATGATTTCAAAACGACTCGAGATCGAGATGCATACTTAAATCGAAAGTATAAATGTCCTATTAAAAATATTACATCTATTTCTATTATAAATCCAATTCCAATTCCTCAAATCGAACCAGATACAAGTAATCATTTGAATCAAGTTTCTAACTCTTCTGATCTATCTATCTCTTCTACTTCTCAGACCATTACAGATGAATATTTATCTCGAGAAGAATTTGAGTTTCTCAAAACATTAGATCTAATAGAAAATGATGCTGTATTAGATACTGGTATTCACTTTATTCAAATTAGAGTTAGCGATCCAGAAAGACCTCATGATAATTTAATTTATTAAGTAATTGAAAAGCTATAGTTCCATCTATAAAAAATCTGAGATATGCATTTATTAAACCAATATCTGACCATAAAGAATATAACGAAACACCATATATGCCTCAATTATTAGCAAATGCTAGAAATGAAATTACAAGAGTTCTTAAAATCGAGCTTAATGAAAAGAAGCATATAAAGTCAGCATTAGTTGCCCTTTGCTATTATGAAAAGTAAACAAATCGCTAAAAAAAGAGGATAAGGAAAATAATATAATGTATTGTCATCACAGAAGTAAAATATGTTCTCTTTTATCAGAAAATGATATAGATGACCATATATCTCAGTCAGCTTCAGAAATAGATAAAGATATTAAGGAAATGTTAAGATGAGGATCAAATTAGTGATTAGTTCGAATAGAAAAATTAAAAATTGAAGCTTATATATATTGACAAGCTACTAGTGGATCATATATCTCAACTCCAAAGAAGCTTGCCAATACTAAATACACTATTAATCCAGATAACTCTCAAACAGGTGATGACATGTGTTTAAAATATGCTTTAGGTGCATATTTTGCAAGCAATAGAGGTGAAAATAAAAATTTACAACGTCTTTCTGTACTTCAACCATATCTGGATATAGTCAATTTAGATGGAGTTCCTATGCCAACTCCAATTTGCTCATGTATTTTTAATAAAATTGAGGAGATGAACCCAGATATCTCTATTAATATCTGGAAATAGAAAGAAGAAACAGCTACTCCTAAACCTGTAATAGCAAGCAAAAATTATAATAAACAACATATTATATATCTAATAGCTCTTACAGATATTACTAAATTCAAAGATGATAAGTATGGGCAAAAGAATCACTTTCTTTGGATCAAAAACTATAAAGGATTAGTATACAAAGATACAAAGTATCGTAGCAAAAAGCATCTATGCAACCGATACTTTCAAAGCTTTCATTTAGAAAAATTTTTAGCCTATCATCAAAAGCACTATTTCGGTTTAGGAAAAGCAACTCAAGAAGTCAAATTACCTACCAAAGATGTCAATGACTTTGAGAAGTTTAAGAACTATGGATGAATGATCAATGCTTCATGTGTTATTATAGCTGACTTTGAGGCTGATAATAAGAAATGCGATGAGAAATATGGAGGGCAAATACGAAAGCTTGCTGAACAAAAAGCCAATAGCTTTTGCTACTTGGTTCACTGGATCGATACTGGAAAGGTATGGGGCCCATTCCTATATAAAGGAGAAACTGCTACTCAGGAATTTGTTCAAAAGAATTGATAAGGAATTAGTTCAAATTAATAGGGTCTTAGCTATAAAGCATGACTGAATTGTGATTGAAGAAGACAAGAAAAAATTTGCTAAAACAAATACCTGCTGGATATATAAAGATAAATTTGATACTGCAAAGCAAGATACCCATGTCTAGATAATAAAGATAAGGTTTGGGACTATTGTCATATAACAGGTAAGTTTTGAGGACCTGCTTACAATGCATATAATTTTAAACTCCAAATCCAAGCATGGAAAATACCAATTCCAGTTATCTTTCATAACTTTCGGGCTATGATTCTCACTTGGTTTGCAAATCTGTTGGGCAATCTGTTAATGCATACCAAATCAGGGTCATAGCTGAAATATTTGAGCTATACAAGTCTATGAAGGTAGATCAGCTTAAATATATAAATAGTATACAATTTATGAATAATAGCTTGGCAAATCTTATGAAGAATTTGGGCAACAATCATCCTATTACAAGCCAGCACTTTAAAGACTATTCTTCAGATCAAATTTCATTAGCAAGTCGTAAAGGAGTTTATCCTTATGATTATATAGATTCTCAAGAAAGATTTAAGAAAACAGAGCTTCCTCCTATCCATGAGTTTCATAGTACTCTTAAAGGCAAGATTTCACAAGATGACTATTATCACGTCCAAAAAGTATAGAAAACTTTTGGTTATAAGACTCTAGGAGAGTATCATGATCTCTATCTTAAGATTGATATACTTAGCTTGGCAGATATTTGAACCCAATTTCGAATGACATGTATGCAGTATTATGAGCTTGATCCTAGTCATTATGTTTCAGCATCTGTATTAGCTTGGGATGCTATGCTTAAGATGACAGGTATTAAAATTGAGCTCTTTATAGTTATATCTATGCATGATTTTATAGAAGAGGCTAAGCGTGGAGATATAGCTATAGCCTGTAAGTGCTATTTCAAGATCAATAATCCAAAAATAAGGCAAGACATTTGATCTATCTAAACCTACAACATGGATTTCATATGTCGATGCAAATAATCTTTACGGCTGGGCTATGAGTCAGTATTTGCCTATTGGAAATTATAAATGGGAGGTAAGTCATAAATATCTTGCAGATAATCCAAATGAGCAAAAGAAATATCTTGAAAAGATTCTTAATACTAAAGCAGATGCTAAAAGAGAATATTTTCT